TTAGCAGAGGTACAAAGGTGAGGAACATAGTGTGTACTTGAAACTGTAAGCAGTTAAGAGTTGGTGAAGTATAGCATGATGGCAAAGAGTCATCAAAGAGGAAGCTGAATAGGGAGATAGGGTCACACTGTGGGGGGTTGCTACATTAAAATTGTATCCTATGTGCTCTGGGAAACTCTTGAAGAAATATACATAGAGGCATGTATTCATTTTCTAGGACTGCCATAACAAAGTGCCACAGACTTGTTGGCCTAAACAATAGAAATTTATCTTCTTATAGTTCTGGAGGCCAGAATATCAATATCCAATATCAAGGTGTCAGCAAGGTTGGTTTCTTCTGAACGTGCTCTCCTTGGCTTGTGAATGGCCATCTTCTCCCTATGTCTTTACATGGTTTTTTTTTTCTCTCTCTCTCTGTGTGTGTGTGTGTGTGTGTGTGTGAGAGTGTGTGGGTGGGTGGGTGTGTGTTTGTATATCTTAATCTCCTGTTTTTATAAAGATATCACTCATTGGATTATGGTCCACCCTAGTGACCTCATTTTAACTTAAACACTGCTTTAAATACTTATCTTCAATATAGTCTTATTCTGAGGGACCGGGAATTGAAATTTAAACATATGAATTTTGAGGTAACACAACTCAGTCCATAAAAGGGAATGATGTGGTTAAATTTCATTTCGTAATCATATGGAGTTTTGAGGAAGAAGAGATAAATTAACAGGTTATTGTAATAATCAAGGCAAAACTCAGATTATTCTATAGAACTTTGTTAACAGAGATGGAGAGAAAGGGACAAATTACTGAAATATTTAGGAAACAAAATTGGCGCAGGATTAAGGTTACTTGGATGTTAGAAATGAGAGGGAGAAGCCTAATCTAGGTCTCTGGATTTCTGATTTGAATGAACCAGTAGATGGTGACATCATCAATGAAGGTTTAAAAAAATCCAAAGTAAGAAGCTTGTTCAGAGAGGAAATGATGAATTCAGTTTGAGGAATCCAATTAGAGTTACCTGAAATACAGTTAGATAGAAGACTGAGGCACAAAGACAGATAATTGGGCTGGAAGTCTATATTTTGTCTTTATTATTCTCATATGTTAAATGAAACTATGGGAGCACATCCTCACATACTGAATGATAAGAACAATACACTTAAAAAAAAAAGAAAACCAACATTTATGGGACAGGCAAAGAACAAGCCCTGAAAGACACAGTAAAGTGCGATGTGAAGCAGGAAAGGCACCTGTCATAGACTCCAAGATAGTAGAGAGCTTTGATATAGGTAATAATCAATAGTGAAAGACAGCAAAGAGATCCCAAAGGTAAAAATTGATAAATGTTAGCTGGATTTGAAATTGGAAGGACTTTTGGACATTTATGCCTAATAACAATTCCTTAGGCTTTCATGTGCTAGACAATAGATAAAGCATGGCATGTGTATGATATCTCATTTTGAGATTCATTATAATAGATTGAGGAAAGTGTCATTGTGTCCATTGTACAGATTGCAAAGATTATAGCTCAAGACAGTCAAATACCTTGCCTAAGTTCAGTCTGAGAACAGCAGATGTGGGAGTCAGTTCTAGCTTCCATCTTACGTTACCAAAGCAGGTGTGATAAGTGGAGGGGCTCAAAATTCAGAGAGCAGTAGGGCAGTGAATGAATGGTTGGTGAGGAAGTAAGATAGACTGCCCTTTTCAGCCTGGGAGAAGGTTTAGTACATTGCCTTCACACAGTAGATGCTCAATAAATTTTAGTTCAGTGAAGAAGAAATAAATGTCAACTTGTGCTAGTTATCAGGTTTACATGTTAGGTGTGGAACAGGAGGTAGCAGAGGCGTCGAGTACACACAGCCCAAGATTAGGGAGCCAGTAAAGAGAATAACGCCAAAGAAGAAAGGGGAAAATTTAGCAAGCCAGGTCCTTTGTAGAAGAGGTTGATTGAGCCTGGTATCAAGTATACAAGTAAGAATTTTACCTGAGTAGATGAACTCTTTCTTTGAGATTGAATACAAAAGAGTGAGGTATAGAAACAGGTTTAAAGGGACAAAAGGCAAATTGTTTCATCTCCCAACAATCCCCTCCATATTAAACTCCCTTATGAAAAAAATCTCACCATCCCTAATAAGTTATTTGCTTTAAAGTTTTAATAAATGTATACATGCAATTCCCAATGCCTAGAACTACTTCTCTCTTTTTTTTTGTATAGTAAATGCTTATGGAGAAATAAAGACCCAAATTATAAGTTAGCTCTCAAAATTATTTCTTGAATTCTCCAAATAGATTTTATTACTCCCTCCGTTTTCCACCTCTTACAGCACTCACTCCCTCCTCTGTAGAGTCTTGGAATCCATAGATAATTATGCTTTCATTTTTTGTTAAGTTTTTTGAAACACTTTAACATATCAACAAAATATTTGAAAATGTTATAAGGTATATCTTAGAGCAAGCATGACTTAACTTGAACACAATTGCATGTATTTAGCTCAAACTTTTATATGCCAAAAATTATATGATGTAAATTTTCTTAATGGTTAGCTAAACACTACTCTAGCAGATGACTGCATTTTGTAATAAAAATATACTCTTAATTCATTGACTTTTAATAATGTTATACCACAAATGATGCATAAATTGGGAAAATTTTTACAATGTATTTAAAGAATAAAATGTTGCTTGCCATTATAAAGATTTATGTATTGATCATCTTGATGTTTAAAGAAAATGATGTATACTTATGCCCTATCTTCAAAACCAAATTGCACGCTGTAATACCTTAAGCTTTCAACTGGTGTTAAATTTTGGCTGGTTCGATAGTGGGCTGAGAATATTGATTGCTGTATTACTGTTCTGTTAGACAATTTTATTTTTGAACAATCTGTATGCCCTATGAGAAGATCAAATGATACGGCAGAGAGATCTGAGACAAAATACTAATATTTAATTGTTTTAAGTTCAGCAGGATCAAGTTTCACATTTCAGAATCATTAAAAAATGCACAGAATGCATAATTATATTCAATTTGAGTTTGAGCTATGTAGCATGATCCATGTGTAATTTATAAAATATAGTCGAGTATTTAAAATATAAAAATATAATATTCTTTGTAACATTTTACACATGCTGTTATTTTCCTTATATCAGCAAAATAAGAATGTGAACTTTATAAACATACATTGAGAGAGTTAAGATAATCATGTGAAATGGCTATATCAATCTGTAAACACCTCTTTTAAATGACTATTTAATATTCCATCCAAAAATAAATATAAAACCCAACGTATAGCAAAATCCATAAGACAAAATATTCTCACAAAGAATCTGTTTATGTATTGCCTGTCAATTAAACATGAAGATAAGTAATTTTTGTTCAAATAATCTATGTATATTCCCAGTGTACCTATTATATACATAAAATTGTTCAACCTTTAGAGTATTTGCCAAAGTTTTCTAATGTAAGTAAAAATTATATGGATTTGAGAACTATACTTCTTACATTCTATTGTGAAAATATTTTAAGATTCATGTGCACTAATTTCAGTTGTTTGCAAACATACTGTAATGAAACATTATATTTTCATTTTTAATGTAAAATATAAAAGTCTCTTTAGATGGAGCAAAAAGAAATTTCTAATGCAGCTAATGTATTCAATCATCGTTTAATATTCTGTGTAGTCATAATTGCATTTGTCTGAGCATATCCAACGTTTAAATTAGTGCAAGTTGGTAAAATTCTAGCATTTAATTAGTTTGAATAAAATGTAGTACACAAAAAATTGTAAACAAAATATGTGTGAGTCATTAATTGAAATGTGATTGGTGGATTTTCTGGAAGAAATGGGGAGAAAATTAAAGTAGAGTAATAGCATGATTAATTGATTCAGGATGGTTCCTACTGAAAAATTATGTTCAATAAGAATCTGTCATGACTTTTGATCATTTGTTACTCTACAGTATATCAAATATAATGGAGTCAGGTGCACAAGCTGTAAAAGCGACTGTTATAAAAATGCCAATTTCTTAAATTAAAAAGGTGGTTACTTAAATGATTTAATTCCAAATAGCCATACTTTATTAATTTGAGCTATTGCTGTATCTAGAGATGTTAAATATTTTTATAAACGATTTTGTTCTCATATATACATTTATCATTCTGCATTCCAGTCAATGGTTTTTAAAATTTCCTCTCAAGGTCCAAATTACACATATTTTTATCAAAAAATAGAGATGCCTGGCAAAAGTTGCTATTTAAATATTTAACAGAAAAATATATTGGAAGAATAATTATTTGTTTACAACCCAAAACATTATTTCAATCAAAATTCTTTTAATATAATAAAATGTGTTCTTCTACAGTATATTCATTTACATATACCTCTCTCATTGGTGTCTTTCAGTGATGTTTTCTCATATGAGATCTTTTTCAAACACTATGGAGATTAAACTGAATTATCTTAATATGATTTGAACCACTATACTGGAGAAGAAAATTTCATAGAAGGGAAATTCATAAATTTTGTCATTTTCAGAGAGTGTAGGGGACATTAAAATTCATAGTAAAATATCAACGTGTCCATTTCTATTATGCCTTAAACAGTATGCATTAATCATGCTTATTGTCGCAGAGGGTTATTGGAAATCAGTAGAAGCTTGGAAGTGATAGTGTAAGCAAGTTATTTTCATGACAATGGCTTATCACCTGATGATCATCATATGAAAGTTTTGCTTGCTCCTTTCAGGGGGTATGCATGTTTTTCATCATCTGGTCCAATTCCACTCTGAGTTTAATTTTCTGTTTTTATTTTATCTAACATTTTTCCTAATCCTAGAACTATGCCTCTTTACAAAAATATTACTTAAAACCTATTTCTATGGAATTACATTAAAACAAGTAAACTTTCTACCACCCTGTACTGTAAACCAATTGGTAATTATTTTAGTCACCTTCTGCATTAGGAGTTCCATCTTTTGGGCATTGAAATTGATTTTTTTCATCTTAGCATCTGAAGATCCAGAGTGTGCCCCTTGCCCAATCGCCTGAGACTATACAGTGACACCTACAACAGAGGATGTGGAGGGAGCAGCTTTTCGGGCACCAGAAATGGCAGCATCAGGAGCATCAGCACGAATAGACTTTGTAGAGGTAGTTCTCCCAAACTATATTACGAAACCAAACATTTTTGGTGCGCTACCTGCTGATGGGGGCTGCCTTCTTACTGCCTAGTATCTACAAAATGTTTGGTCTTTGTTAAAGTTTAACAATGACATTTATGACTAATATAGAAAGACCTGATTTTTTTCCAAGTGTGTTCAGTTGCCATAACTTTCAATGAATATGAAATTTTATCAGTCTCAAAAAAACATTAATACCCATATTTTTATCTGATTGATTTCACTATTTGTTATGTTAAGGTGCTGTTGTGTATAATTTGTATATTTTTTATATGGATCAAACTAAGCCATCTTTTAAAAGTCATCCTAATGCAGTAAATAAGATAATTTCTCTAGTTTGTTAAATTCTTCAGAGACTGAATACAATTGCCTCGTTTTTCTGTCATACTCCCTGATGATGTTCCATTGTGGACTTATTTTGCAAAGTTCCCAGATGGCACAATCAAAATATGAAACGCTGGTGATTGATTGATTTTATGTATCCTTTCATCTTAAGTAATTTAATGTGAAACAGTTATTTTCTAGCTCTAAAATACATTTGTTAATTAACCATATTGGCTTTTCGTGCAGTTCAATGACTTATAGCATTTCAATTTGCATACAAAATGAGTCTCTGTAATGGTACTTTTGCTAAATAAATAACAATCGACATAATGGGTTCATTTGCTTTTAATATTTTATACATATAGTTTAGAAGTAGGATATATTTCATATTGAAATTTTGAAAAGATTGAAATTCAACATACAAGGGTCACCATCTTCTTACTATGCCTAATGCAGTACAGCAAATTCACTCTTCATCCCATATTAACTCCTTTTTGGAACAAGGCAAAATACAAATAATTTACAATGACTGTGTTGGAGCTAGTGCTTGATTAAATACAATTCAAAGGTTCTTTTTATAAAACAGGTATGAGCAGGACACACTGAGCTTACAGGCTTTTCCTATTGTTTAGTTTCTATTTCATTTTACTGCCTAGGAAAGAAACACATTTTTTTGCAAAACCTATGCTATTGGAGCTGAAATGTACTTTCTTGAATATTTCTATTCTGTTTTATGAATTTCAATTATGTGAAATATAGAAATATAAAATTGCCTTAGAATGCGTAACTCTTTGTATAAAACATATATCTGAAAGTAGATGTTGATTTTTTGTTAAACTTGTGTAAATGCTGATTTTTCCATGAGTACTTATGAAGATCTGTATGTAAAAATTTTAAGTCTACTGTGTTTGTACCATCTGTTTTTAGCTGTGTATACTATATGCTAATTGACTTCTGTCATTGTCACATATATTGAATATATCACTGAAAACGTAAAAGGTATATTGCTATTCTAAAAACAAAATTGTAAATTCCTGACATTGCTTTAGAATAAGTTGCACTATCTTAGTGTAGTTTTATAATGTGTTCTTATGAATTCTCAGTGCCCTTCAAATGCCATCAATTTATTTAGCTTTCCGAAATTTATTTTAGAGATTACTTAAAAAGAGATTACTTAAAACATTCTGTGTGAAAGTAGCTTTAAAGATTAAAGAAACATTGCTGTTTTGACTTTATGATGGTCTAAGTAAGAAACTGGACCTTTCATTATTAAAGCTTAAAAATCTTATGCAGCAGCAATGAAAGTCCGCATCAGTGTGTAGACTGTTGAATAATTAACTTTACTGCAGTAAACCATGTTGTCTTTCTGGTCTTGACAATATATAGCAATTGAAAACTTGTATGTGTAGCATAAAGGAAATTTTTCTTAATGAAAAGAAGTTAACAAGTAAATTAAATAACTGTTATCAAAGCTAAAGTTCTTTAAAACTTAATCAGCAGAAGTGATTATAAAAGTAAAAGGTTAAAATGAATACAATTGAATATAATACATGATTTATTTTGCCCAATGTCCATGTTATATGTCCTGGTTAGTGCTCCAACAATCATAAGTGATTGTAAATTCATTCATAATATTTGTGTGACTCTAATCTTTTATTCCAAGAGGAATCATGCATACCAGTTTAACAAAATACTGACTGTGTTTATCTGTGAAGTTTCATATAATTTCAGCCTCAATATATACTTTTTAAAAAAACAGGTAAAAATGGTAATAAGATGAGATGTTTTCATATGCATTTACTCTTATTGAAATAATTGTATTGAACTCTTTTATAAATATATGCTATTGATTTTACATTCAGGAGTAGTAGGATATGCATATTATGCCAGAATTTGGCTAAACATATTCAATAAAGAAAACAACAAAAACGACCCCTTAAGAAAAGGGCAGTACAGTATGTGGTTACCCATTCTCCAAGATACAAATACCATACAGCCCTTTCTCTCTTCATAATATTAGACTACTCTCAGGAACCTGGGGCATGATGTGAACAACAACTATGAAGGGGCTCTTATGCCATAGTTGGGCTTTATTTTCTGGGCAATAGAGAGGTTTTGATGAAATGGTTTTAAGCAGCAGAATGACAAGTTACGTTTGTAAGTGATGAGATAAAACTGGCTAAGTAAGAATTCACACTCTCCTTGCTAAGCAAGCAAAGAACAAAAGCCACTCTGGGCCAAGTGTAGCAGTGTACACTGTATTGTCTTTCATCATTTTATTGGCATCTCATGAAGAGAAGTCAGTTGTTATGCCTTTTAGGAGTGCCTCAGAGAACAGAATATGTATTCCAATATGTTTCTCAGAAGTTACAGGTTTCTGGAACTTCAAGAATTTCATAAATTTACTCTACCAGCCGTATTTTTTGTCTATATCAAACTTTGACAGTTAAGGTTCCTCCTATTTTGTCTTATCTTTTTAATCAAATCAACTCTTCTTGAGCCAAAACTGGCAGATCTAAATTTTGTCACCAAAAATTATGATTATTTTGTCAATTTTTAAAAGGAAGGCATGTTAGGCGTAGTCAGTTTTATTTTGTGTCACTTGTTTCTGCCACTAGCAATCAATATAAGTTGAATAAAGACTGATAGTCTGTATTTATTCATTGGCATAAAAAACACTATTACCAGGGCAAAAATATAGCATCTGGAGGTCTAGTAGAGTAAAAATAATAATTTCAGAACAGATGGGTTTAGAACAGCATGAGAATGTGGAAACTACATCTTGCTCAAATCTCAATGAGGTAGAAATCTTGTATCAAACCAGTAATTCTTCCAACCCTCACACAGGTACAACTTGCTTTGATTTCAGCTGTATTTAACCTATAGATAGAACATCGGAAATCCAAACTCTTCATCGCCTCTGGTGCTTGGGCAAATTTTAGAGAAATACAAACCTTTAATTCAATCCAATTCAATAAACATTTGTTGAGGACTGACTGTGTGTCAAGCACAAGGATTAACACTAGAGACACCATGTACAAAGAGCCTCTGCTGTTCAGAAGCTTAAGGTCTGACAAGGAATAGAGACAAGTGAAGCATTATATGCAGTACAGCCTAGTACATAGGATTATGGAGATGTGACGAAGGCCGAGAAATAGTAAAGAGAAGTTCTATTTCTTAGTCCTATCTGTAAAGTCCAGGTGAAGCCTGAGGAGTCTTTCAAACCATAAATTGGAATTTTAAAATGGGCAAAAGGAGAATGAGTGTTGCTCATAGAGAAAACTCCATGTCACAAGTGGTTGAATATGTAAAAGAGAAAGCATGAGGAAGGAGTAACCATGAGGTAGACAGAGGAGAAATTGTGAAGGGGCTCTTATACCATAGTTGGTCTTTATTTTGTGGGCAATAGGGAGGTTTTGATGAAGTGGTTTTAAGCAGCGGAATGACAAGTTAGATTTGTGAGTGATGAGATAAAACTGGCTAAGTAAGAATTCACACTCTCCTTGCTAAGCAAGCAAAGAACAAAAGCCACTCTGGGTCAAGTGTAGTGGTATACACCTATAATCCCAGTGCTTTGAGAGGTCAAGGCAGGAGGATTACTTGAGGCCAAGAGTTTGAGGCTACAGTGAGCTTTAATCACACCACTACACTCCAGCCTGGGCAACAGAACAAGACCCTGTCTCTAAAGCTACTTAGACAATTCTTTTTTAAAAAATCAGCTTTATTGAGGTGTGTGAAATACATAATATAAAACTAACTCATTTTAAGTGTACAATTCAATATTTTTAGTAAATTTATAGAGAAGTGCAATTATCACCACAATTTAATTTTGGCCATTTCTGTTACCCAATGCCCAAGTCCCTCCTGCTTATTCACAATTAATCCCCATTCTAATCTCCTTTCCTACCCTAGCCCCAGGTAACTACTAAACTGCTTTCTGTCTTTATAAATTTTCCTTTTCTGAACATTTCATATAAGTAGAATTATTCAAGTAGACATCTTTTGTGTCTGGTTCCTTTCACTTAGTATAATGCTTTTGAGGTTTCTGCCAGATTATTATTAGACAAACAGAATAAACATATTTTACTCCTAAAGAGACTATGAACACTGGGAAAACAAGACGTGTGATAAGGATGTAGTATGAGACTCTCAAAGGTGTAGAGGAGACAAGAGATTGAGGGACCAAGATAGTGAGGGCAGGATGGCAGGAAAAAAGAATCAGTTGGAGTAGAAGAATCAGAAGTGCACAGTTATGTGAAAGTAGAAGAAAACATGTCAAGATATTTTAATATAATTTGCTGAAGACTAAAGATTTGAACTGCATTGCCTCCCTACCTTAAAGATTTAAAATAGGTATTTGTAAAGATTGGACTTCCTGATTGTCGTTACTACTAGATTCTAGATACTAGAGGTATCACAAGCTTCGTTAGTTTCTTGGAGAAGTAAAGTCACGTCTCCAAAGAATGCTTACCTTAGGAAAAAAAACAAGAATGCATTTGAATAGTGACAGACTGACATCTGCAGTTAAAACATAAAGGGGCAAGAGTACATCTAGAACAAGCTGTGTTATCTTTGAAAAACCACTGTGGAGCCAACGGGACATTTTGATAGTCACACTGAGATTGGAGTTACAGTGGTTTTAGAGAATGCACAATTGATTCAAGAATGCTTGTTCAGGGGGCAGGGGGGAGGGATTGCATTGGGAGTTATACCTGATGTAAATGACGAGTTGATGGGTGCTGACGAGTTGATGGGTGCAGCACACCAACATGGCACAAGTATACATATGTAACAAACCTGCACGTTATGCACATGTACCCTAGAATTTAAAGTATAATAAAATATATATATCAAAGAAAAAAGAATGCTTGTTCAGATGAAGAAACAGACTTAGGTGGCATGATGAGGCCACTCAAGTCATAAAAATTAAAAAATTCTTTCTGCAGGAGAAGACAAGGCTACTGGCAGATTTTCTGAGTCTCTATTCAAGATCCACCCCACTAAATGAGAATGGCTGCCTTGCTGATTTGACTGTTACCGTAGGCCTGAAGATAAAGCAAATTTTGGAGTTTTTTATGTGATCCACCATTAACTAGAAAAATCACAGATTTATAGCACAGCTAATGAGATAAACAGACTTTGATTTTAGGGCAGTGAAGACACTCTGCATGATGAATAATGATACTATATATATAAATAAATGTATATATATAAAAGAACAAGCTGTGTATGATATATATTTACTCTGCTATGTATAATATTTATATATAAATATATATTATAAAATGTATATATACATATATTTATATATTTGGTGTACATTTGATGGGTTTGGACCAATATATAATGACATGTATTATCCAGGATGGATACATTTGTCCAAACCCATCAAATGTACACCAAGAGTGAACCCTAATGTAAACTCTGGACTTTGAGTGCCTATGATGTGTAGATGTAGTTTATCAGTTGAAACAATGCACCACTCAGGCTGGGGATGTGAATATTAGGGAAAGCTATGCATGTGTTGGGGTGGGGAGTATATGAGAAATCTCTGTGTTTTCCTATCAATTTTGCTGTAAACCTAAAACTGCTGGAAAAAAAAAAAAAAAAAGACTGCGCACTGGCCAGAATATGCCTGCCACTTAGTTGTTACCAGGAAGGGACAAACTCAAAAACAAAGAACCCACTAAGTAGGAAATCTGACAAAAATCTCCCCGCCTAATGTTACGACTGGCCTCAGGCCAAGAACTCTGATGAATAAAATTGGAGCCTCAGAAGACAGCACCAAAGATGGCTGAGAGGCTACTGAAAGGACCATCTCTCCAGAAACCACATCTCCAAACCCCTAGGAGTGGGAAGTGGTCCTGCCAAGCACGGTTCCTAGAGGCGCTAAGTGGTCTGCTGTGGCCTCAGTAGGAATGAGAGATTTCTCAGCGCTGATTAGAAATACTGCAGCATCGCAGGCGGGGTGGCACATGCCTGTAGTCCCAGCTACTCAGGAGACTGAGGTAGGAGGATTTCTTGAGCCCAGGAGTTCT